GGAAGAGAAGGGATTGCGGCGTGGCATTTCTAGCTTTCTGTCTGTCTCTCTGCCTCTCTTTCTGGCTTTCTGGTGAGCGCAGGCACCCTATAGCAAAAAAACCTCTCCAAAAAAAATCAATAAATAAAATAAAATATTTATGGAAAAAAAAAAAGAGAGGGAGAGAAAGGTTTTCTACAGAGAGTCCAGTCTGAGGTTTTAGCCCAGTTTTAGGACCAGGCTTCCTGCAGAGGGTCAGGGCACTAGAGCATGGTGAGGACAGGGAGGATAGGGAGCCTTGTCCAGCATTAGCAAATGGCACCCATACAGTGGGCAGCAAGCCCTATACCAGGTGAGACGGTCCATGAATGTATAGGATGAAGTCAGGGCTTAGAGTAGAGAGTAAGGACAGGTGTCCCTGCCATGAAGTCAGGAAAGAGTTTTCTATACAAGTTCAAGACTAAGTTTCATGTTAAGAGTTGGTTCATGGGGGCTACTTGGTAAACTAGGCACAGGCATCACGGCGGACTACGGACAGGTCCAAAAGGGGCCCCTGAAGCTAAAAGGTGTCACAGAGCTCGGCATGACCAAATGGAAGAAGAAAAAGGACAAAGGGAAGACAAAACTCCTAGAAGTGATGGGGACGAGCAAAAAGAAAAAGGAGAAGCTGTGCGGCCTGGACAAGTGGACCACAGCCCAGGCGGCCTTCGAGAAGATGCAGGAGAAGCAGCAAATAGAAAGGATCCTGAAGAAAGCATTCAAAACCCACAAGCAGAGAGTAGAGGACTTCAACAGACACTTGGATACTCTGACAGAGCATTATGACATTCCCAAAGTCAACTGGATGAAGTAGCCTCCAGGCTCTGGGTACGGAGCGGCACCGAGGGGAAGCAGAAAGAAATGCCAGGATTATATTTGGCTCCTTTGTTATTTCTAGAAATACTTTTTTTTTTTTTATACGCAGACCCTTACATCTTCTGCTGGGACAACATTTTTCAAAGCTGTACCTTTATTCTGGAATTTGATTAAAAGCAAGATGGTTCTTTAAAATAAATAAATAAATAAATAAAAGAGTTGGCTCATGGGGCCAGCTGGTTTTGTGGTGATTAGGGCAGTTGGATCTCACATGGCCAACTTCATGATTTGAGTCCCAGACCCAGTGGCTTAAATCACATGCCAGGAGCATGTGCATACATGCCCCAAATACTGAGATTAATGGAGGGGGTGTTGACTGCCTCTCTTTGGTAAGCATACATGCCCTATCACAAGCAAAAAAAAAAAAAAGAGCTGACTCAGGCTGCTGTGAACTCTCTAGCGTAAGGCGTGAGGTCAGGTATTGTGGAACAAGGTGTCATTGCTAACAATGAAGGCAAGGGCTTCCACATGCATTCAAGTTCCTGAAGAGGATGAGGACAGGGATTTCTGTAGAGAGCCAGGTCCATGACTCAGAACTAGGTTTATTGGGGACCAGGAGATAGCGTAATGGCTACATCGCTGGACTTCCATGTATTCGACCATGGTTCGAGTCCCAGACCTAGTGGCTTAAACTCATGCCAGGCACATGTGCGTGCATGCCCAAGATCCCAAGAGGAGAATGGAGGAGAAGGGATCGCAGCATGGCCATTGCCCCCTGGGGGCGGGGGGTGATTTCTCACTTTCTGTCTCTCTGCGGAGCACACATGCCTTATAGCCAAAAAAGAAAAAACAAACAAACAAACAAAAAACTCTCAAAAAAAACCCCTAGATTTATTGTGAGTGAGGAGTTTTTAAAATGCAACCTGCTGGGCCAACAGGTGGTATCATGGTTAGGGCACTGGACTCCCGCATGGCCAACTGTGGTTTGAATCCTGGACCTGGTGGCTTGCTTTCTCTCTCTCTCTCTTCTCTCTCTTTCTATCTCTCTCTCATGAGTATCTGAACTCTATTGCAAAATTTAAATAATAATAAATAAAATTAAATAAATAACTTTTTAAATGCCACCTGAAGGGCAAGGCTACAACAGTATAAGGACAGTTGTTTTTGTCTAAAGTCAAGACAGGATTCCTGTAGAGAGAAGTGGGCTCCTGTAGAGGCATTCCTTTCAGGGGGCAGTGCAGTGACTTCGTTAGTGTGAGTGCAGAAATTCCTAACTGGACTAAGGGGGTTCTTGAACTGGGGGAGGAGGGGAGGACAGAGGCTGGTGTTCCCATCCAGGATCAGCATTGGTTTCCGCTGGTAATTAGATAAAGAGTTCCTTTCAAGTTTTAGAGCTAGCCTCCTGGTCCAAGCTAGGGCAGCTGTTTTTGTAGGGGTGAGGCTGGGGCTCCTGAGTAAGGCCAGGCACATGTCCAGAACAGGTTCTGAGAGGCATTTCTGTTCAAGACAAGCACAGGGGCTTTGGCAGGTATGAGGGCTGAGCTGCTATGGGAAGGCAAGGCACGTGGCTTTTCCAGAGTCAGGGCCCTTCTGGACATTCCCTGCAATAAGCATCAGCTACTGTGGTTCTGCAGTAGAGTACTCTGTGGCATTGGCATGGTGACCAGCTGATGGGGTGTTCTGTGGAGGATGGCTGCTTACCTATAATGCATTCAGGATCTACGGGACCCCCTGCACCCCACCTCTGGGGCTGAGGGGAGAAGCCATAAAAAGATACAGCTCAATTAAGCGCAAGTAGCACTCATTCGCCCCGGGGGTCATCAGGTCCAGAATCTATGCTCTAAACTGTGTGTTAAGTTACTTATCAGTTCTGAGCTTCACCTTTAACTAGTAAAGGAAGTATGGATATACTTTCCTCAGAGCATTTTTCCCCAGATATTGATGAACTAAAGGAACTAAGACTCCTAGCCCTTGCTGACCCAGGAAACGGGCCCATTGCTGACTCCACAAAAGGCACTGCCTGATGTGGGGTAGTATAGAGGCAGAAGTGCGTGAACTCTGGATCCTGACTGCCCTTGACACCACCTTTGTGGCCTCTAGCGAGCCACTTCACCTGTCTGCCTTGGGATGTCACCTGCTTCAGAGTATGCTCCTATGTCAGTGTCTGGTAAACTGAAGTGTAGCATGCACTTTATGGGGACAGCACACCTGAGTGAGTACGAGTGCTTTGCAAGGATTTGGTAACATGCAGAGCTCCTCCATGTACTAGGGTCCAACTACCACCTCCAAAGGCCATTTTGTACTAATTGACCCCCCTGCTTGTCTTCCCCCCCCCAGAGGGCTGTAGGCCGAGCTTAGCTGAGAGAGAGAGAGAGAGCAGGTGACTGACAGGAAGCTCTGTGGACAGCCCCAAGCCCTGGCACTGGCCTTCTGACCTTGCCAGCTACCATTCTAGCCCTCCCAACCCACTTTCCTATTCTGAACATGTCTTTTATCACTTGGAAGGAGGTCTCTAACTTACACTGCCTGAAACTATATGTTGATGTCTCCACAAACATACACAGTGCTGCTCCCATTGTCAGCTGCTCAGAGACCCTGTGATGTGGCACATGCCAGATGATGTGCACACAGGCTTCCCACACATGCACAGAGACTTGCAGAGGATAACTGCCATTATCAGACTCGCAAGGACATCCTGACACATGCCATCATGGTCACATGCCATCATATACAGAGCTTGTTCAACATTTCAAAAATATTTCTTAATCACATCTATGCCCAGTGCCTATGCTGTCCAGATCACCCAGAGTCAGGCCCAACCACACCAAAAAGGCCCACCTTCCTCATCGCTGCTGTGGCACGCGCACTTCCCCATGCTCTCCTCGGTCACCCAGTGGTTCACACGCCATCTCACATCACCTCACCCCCGCAGTCAGCCAGTCACACGCTGTGTCACGAAGACAAAGGGAGCCACTTGAATGCAGTTCCACATTGTAACACTCGTGAAGGCCCATGTATGCCACCTGGGCCAGCCTCATGTGGACATACGCAGCCATGCACTGTCATCAAAGGCCCAGAGACACTGCCACATACCCTACCTGACACTGCTGTTTATTCAGTCACACACCTCCAATTTTAGGACTTTGGTAGTTTTATTTTACAAAAGCTTTAAAGGTCCAAACCAGAAGATGTCTGGGATCCAGAAGGTTGTATTCTGCAGACTGCTGCCTGCATGAGGAGGGGGCTCCCTTCCCCCCTGAGGCTGTGCTCCATGCCCTCATGAGCTGAGTGGAGCCACCACGGTAGTGCTAGTGGTGGGAGGCACAGGGCCTGGGGGGAAGGAACCTGTGGGTGAACCCAGCAAGGGTCCTGGGAAAGGCACAAGGTGGCTGACAGGCCCCGACAGCACCACAGGACCTAGGCCTTGGTAGAGATGGGCAGTACTTGGGGGACCCAATGTCAAGCCTGAGGCCCCCTCCCCACAATTCCCACTGCTCCTTCCCCCAGCCACTACCATGAAGCCTCCAGCTGACCCTTCTGCTGCTCCTGTACCTCCCAGACTTGACCCCCGTTTCTTTTTTCCTTTTCCAGATGCCTTGCGATTTCGAGTCTGAATGCCATCCTTCCGCATGGTCAGCGGTCGGTTCACCTGCCAAAAGGGAGGAGAGGGGTATTTCCCAACTCCGGTCCTTTGCTTGTCTTTGTCTCAAGATCAGGGGTACTCTCTCCATCCTATTTCCCTAAGGATAGGGAATTGGTCCCAGGTCTAGGGGGACATGTCCTGGGGGTAGCACAGATACTGTCCTAAGGAATCCCAAAGTTGGGAGGCCACGAGGGCTGCCAGGAGTTGCCCAAGGTCTAGAGCAGGGAACAGGAAGGTACTTGATGCCTGCGGCGGGGAAGAAGGAGCAGAAGAGAGGACAAAGGAGGGAGTGTGAAGAAGAGGAAGGAAGAAGGAGGGAGGGAGGAGAATAACAAACAGGAGAGAGATGACAGGGAAGGGGAAGGAGAGAGGGAAACAGTGAGGAAGTAAAGGTGAGAGGGAAGAGGAGAAGGGTTATGAGGGAAGAGAGGGTTCAGAGTGGAGCACAGGCAGAGCGAAGTAGGGGCGGCAGGACAGGAGGACAGGGAAGGCGGAGAAGAGGCTGCACGGGGCAGCGCGTCACCTGGTGCAGCTTGTAGTAGAGGCCACAGGCATTGCACACAGGGTCCCCGCTGGCATTTCTCCGCCACAGCGTTGTAGTGGTCGTCTGACAGTTGGTGCACTGAGTGCCTGCCCGCTTGCTGACAATCTGTGGGATGAAATGATGTGAGATAATGCCCTGGGGAGTGGAAGTGGGAATAAGGGGCTCACAGGGCCCATCAGGAGAACCCAAGAGGCGAGCCCCATGTCCAAGGCAGGCGTTCCTGTGCAGGGTGCAGACAGGCATCTGCAGAGTGACTGAGGATTGCAGACAGGGTGAGGATAGGGCTTCTGTTTCTTTCTTTCTTTTCTTTTTTTCATCAAAAACTTTATGTAAACTTTTTTTTTCTAGGAGGAGTTTTCATTTTGCTTTGTACTCTGCAGGGGACTACATCAATGGATTTCAATTTTGGCCACATACTGGAATCACTTGGGGAGTGAAAAAAAAATTCCTGATGTCTAGGCAGCTCCTTGGTCCAATTAATCAGCACATCTGGGGGAAGGTGCCCAGGGCGATTCCAGTATGAAGCCAAGGATGTAATCAGGGTGAGGACAAAGGTTTCTGTGTGGTTTGAGGACAGGTTCTGTGCGAAGCCTGTAAGGGTGGGTTGAGGACAAGAGTGCCTGTACAGAGCTTGGTTTTCATCTAGGGTAGGGCAGAAGTCCTTATATGAAGAAAGGGTGGGAGTTCCTATCCACTGCCAGACAGGTTTCCAGGCAGGATGAGGACAGTGGTTCCTATAAAAGGTGAAGCAAGGCCTGTGGTCTTACCAGGCGCTTCTTGGGCCGGATGAGAGGCCTGTTCTGCCCATTCATCTTGTGATAGAGGCCACAGGCATTGCACAGGTAGTGGCCCGTCCTGTCTCTCCGCCACAGTGGAGTGGCTGTTGCTCCGCAGTTCACGCATTCCCTGGCCTCTGGTGAGGTAAACAAGGAAAAGAGAGCCCGAGTCAGTGCAATTTTGCCTTCAGCTACCCCGCACCAAACCTCAATCTCCCTGTCCCTGTTTGAGACCCTCACCACATGGAGGCAGGGGCAGGGTTCCACGAAGCTTGGGGGAGGAATAGGCTGCTGAATTGAGGGGGCTCCCAGTGGGAGAAAAGAAGGTACTGGAAAACTCAGGGGCCCCATAGGCACTGCTGGGAACAGAGAGTGATGAAGGTAGTGCAGGCCCCAGGGTCAAGAGGTCTGGACTCAGTCGCTCTGTCTTCAGGGTCTCCAGGAAGCTGGTGCTTCCTTTCCCATCTGGATCTTCCGGGGCTTGGGGAGGAGAGTCTTCACGAGTGGGGCACACAGCTGAGGCCGGGTAGAGCCCTGTCTTGCCGTAGGCCCAGCCAGCATAGGGTGAGCCTCCTGGGATCCCTTCCATACAGTTGAGTAATGGGTACACCTGAAAGACTTAGGAAGCAGGTAGGGGAAGGAAGGAGGAAAGAAGAGAGATCAGTTTAAGTTATCCTGCTTTCAGGGTACAATGACCCAGCAGTCCCAACATGGCCAAATTTCCAACTTTTTGCCAGAACAGGTGCTGACTACTGCTGGATTCTAAGCCCTGCTAGCCACTCTGGCATCTGCAATAACTTACAGCCACTTCCGAGTGGCCTTTTAGGATGATTGTTGGGGCTTGGAGTCTCACAGATCACTTGACAACTAGGGGAATCACCACATACTTCAATGCTTCTTAGTATGGCTGCCCCAATATGGTAGGTTGAGAAACATTGCATTTCCAGGTATGGGCTTAACTAGGGAAAGTGGTCAGCTCATCCATGTGAAAAGCTTTCAGACATTTCCAAGATGATCTCTCAGCAAGATTCTGACCTATGGATCTCCATGGCAACCCCAATAGCATTCAGCTAATAGCAGCCACCCAGCGGAGTTACCTGGGGAATGTCTGTAGGCCTCAGCGTCCCTGTAGTAGGCCAGTGCAGCAGCTGCAGCAGTGGCTGTGCTCTGGGCAGTGGAGGAAGCAGCTGCATCCAAGCCCTCAGGCCCAGAGGGAAAGAAGACCCCTGACTCTGGTGTTGAGGACACCAGGGCTGGATCCACAAACTGGGGCAGTGGATCTGAGGTCCCCAGGGCCCCCAGGCCAGGGAACTCCATGGGGCCTCTGGGGTTTAACCTGCAAGGACAGGAGAGGTCCTCAGACACAAACCTTCCCCTTATGTCTTTGCACTTACTCCTCTTCCCTCTTCTCCCCCTCCTCCCAATCCATTCCCTTAATCCCTCCCATATTCCTCTTCACCCCTCTCTTGCCCTCCTTCACCTTCTCTTCTCTTTCTCACTCTTACTTCCCACTCCTCCATCTCTTCTTTGCCTTTTGTCTTCTACTCCATCCTCTCTTCCTATCCCCTCCTCCTTTCATCTTGCCCATTCTCTGCTTGCCCCCTTTGTCTTTCCTCTCTTCCCTCTTCTCCCACCTCCTCTACTCTCATCTGGTTCCTCCTCTTCTTTCTCTTCTCCTTTCTTTCTTTCCATTCCTTCCTCATTCTCTCCCTGCTCCTTTTTCTTCTTTGCTTTCCCCTTCTTTTCCTCTCCCTTTCTCCTGCTTCCTTGTCCTTCCTTCTCTCCTAACCTCTCCCCACCTCCTTTTTATTAAAAGAATTATTTTATTTAATTCTTATTTATTTATTTAATTCTTATTTATTTATTTATTTATTTATTTATTTATTTATTTATTTA